GAAGGTTGGCCAAAAGGAAGATGAAGTGAAGGATTGAAGTGAAGGCGGATTCAAGTGAAGGATTGAAGTGCATTGCTTTGCAAGATGTTTTTTAAGAGAAAACGTCGGAAAGGCCAGCCATTAGCTAGCAGCGAAGCAGTCTTGGGTGAGACGTATGATTCCACGCGGTTCGGTGAACGTTTGGGGACTGAGGGGGGTGCTGTTTTTGGGGATGATTCCGACCCAACATGGTGAAATACCGGAAGGAGCCGGCAGCTTCCGGCTGTCAGCCGGAGATTCCAAGCAAAACACGCTTGGCAACACGAAAATGCCTTCCGCTCAAGCTCCACAAAGAAAAACAACAAGCCTGGAAAATAGAAAAAAATCCTGAAACCCTCCCGTGACTATTCTCTCAAGTAAATCTATTTAATATAAAACAGTATACTAGTATATGTATATACACACACTACTATACATTACATTCCCTAGAGCTCCAAGTATCTCCTCAGAAGGTATTTGGACCCTCCTGGCACCCACCCCAGTCCCACCTTCGAAACGAAGGTACTTGGAGCCCTAATGATTACAAGTGTGTAAGCCGTTTGGTTACATAGCCGGCTCGGTGTTCACGTTCGTACCAAGGCCAGGGCCCGGAGTGTTCCACTCGCAAGCGCACCAAGGGCAGCTGAGGCACCTGGTTTGCAAAGGTGGATGGAGAGGACCCTGTGAGATGGTCCATGAGAACGTGTTACAACAAACAGTTTGTACTGTTGAACATCTAGGTTTATTAATATAGTTAAACTATGTTTTTTTTAGCATGGCAGCATGTCACTATCTGCTTCGTGATATGTCACATCATTGTTTAAACATGTTTAAACATCCGGCTTCTTTTGAAGTTAAACATGCATAAACAAATGTTACTTTGGGGAATCTGTTTCGAGCTAGTTGAATCTACCACTAGGACCACTAGGAATCCGTCATGGCTGAAGTCCTAGAAACCTGTAGCAATCCGTCTGGTTTGCACAGGCTCCACAGGATTTTAAACATCTGAAGAATCTAAACTAAACCATGTCTCGGCCATTCCCGTTCCACAAAAGGGAATCTTAGGTGTGCTCCAACCATAGTTTTTAATTTTGGACAGGCACAGCATGCCCAAACAGGGACAAGTACTCCAATACTCCTGCAAAAAAGAGAGCTGGCGTAAACCCATCTCGAACTGCCTATTCCACCCTGTCCTCATCACCCAATATGTAATTCAACGGTTCTTCTCCCATGTTTCTCGGGTGGCCTCGACGTTGAGGCCCCAGTCTTCAACCAGTCTGATTGGTGGCCCCACATCTTCGAACCGCATGGCTGCCCTTTAAGCGTACGCGCGCGAGAGCGAAAGCCACCGCCTCCAGCTTCTGTGGGCCGAACTTGCCACGTGCCTGGAGATTGGATCCGAGATATATACCAGCACCGACGGCCAACAGGTCACCAATTGAAACCTGTGACGGGCGCTTCCCAACCCTCCAGCCATCGGAGACCTCTAGAGTCGGGTGCTGGTTCTCAGAAGACGAACGCTGCACTCCGACAGAGACTGGACCCGGTGTGGTGCACCGGACGTTGCCCCGTTGTGCCGGGTCGTCCGACGGGGCACGCAACTCGCACGGTCAGGTCGAATGCGAGTCGGGTCCAACCTGCGAAAGGGTCAGAAGGGTCCATCAAGGCAAAAACTGACAAAGCACGACATAAAGCATGACAAAAATCCATCCAACATCCTGTTCCAATGCTCCAGCAATTTTGGACACTCGAAGTATCACCATTCCAATATGAGTGGGGGGGGTCCAGACACCCATTTTATAGACATAAAACGCTGGAGCCAACCTCCTGGGGGAACCTAATTTGAACTACCTGACCAAAACACGCACATCCTAATTTGAGATAATTTGAGCCTTCCTGACCTGCCTATCTGTGTCTCAATCTCCAGCAAAACTGGCAAAATGCTCGCCAAGCATTGTCAGCAAAACCATGAGCGACATGTTTTTCTCGTCCAACGCCTGTCTATCAAAGATCTTGATCTAGCATAACCCCCCTAAGAAACCCCTGCATCCCAAAAAGCTTCCAAAGACACAGCCCACGACACGAGATCTACACTATCATCAAAAATAGACAACCAAAACCAACAAAAGTAAAAGAAACTGGCCGCACAGCAAAGGTGGTGCGCGAAATTCAAAATGTGTCCTATATTTTCTGTGTCCTTGTGCTTCAATGTCAAACCGTCTGACCTGCTTACCTTTCCTATATCTCCTATTCTTTCATAGTATTTACATCACTTGTTTTTTTGTTCATGAGCAAACATTACCATCTTGCAGGTGCTTCAGAAAAGTAATGGAAAGCAGCGGCGCCATCATGCAGAAACAATTTCCTCTATAAAATGAGGAGCTGACCCCCCCCAAGGGGTAGGGGTCATATTTCAAAATATGGAGGGTGGACCCTCCCCATTTAATAGAGGATATTGGCAAGGGGATCTCGAAGTCATCATTGCATGTTGCTGGAAGATGGAACGTCCGTCCAAATTCCATGTGTCCTGCGTCAAGAATTCACATCCCTTTGGGCACCTCCAGCTCTTTTCCTCGCCGCTGAACTTCTTCTTCGCCTGCGGCTTCCCCGGTGAAGCGAAGCGAAGCGGGCGACCCGAACACGGCGACCCTCCGTTCGGAAGCGCGCGGGCGGGGCTTTTTTTCGTTCGGTGCGGAGTCCTCCCATTCCCCCCCCCGCCCGCCCGCCCGAGAAAGGGAGTCCAGGCAAAGGGATCCTCGATGTGTTTCATCAAAAAGTGCGTCTATGTCATGTATTGTCTCGATTCCTGTGTGCCAGGCTCCAGTGTGAACCACCGAACCTCTGGTGTTTGGAGACGTTAGGTGCCAGGCTCCAGTTGTAGCGAGGTGAAAGGACGACTATCCCGGGCGATCGGCGGGACCGTCTCCTTCGGTCTCCGGCTCCGGTCGAGTCCGGGAGCGCCTTGAGTGATCATGGAGTCCACCTCGCTGGTTAAGGCGTTCCAAATGGCCTGCGGCCAATGGCTGGGTCCGTTCGATCGTGGAGGTTGGTCCGTTCGATCGAGGTTGGAGTAGAAGTAGATGTGAAACAATTGGGATTTGCATGGGGGGGGCAAAACCATCCAAAAGCCTCAATCGACGAAGCAGCCAGTCATGGGCAGCCAGTCAAAGGCAAGTACACACGGTGCAAGTCTATCATCCAGCCGCTAAGGAGCATTGTCATCGATGCATCCCAATCGGTTTGAAGCTTGGCACACGAATAACCATGCGACGCTTGAACAAAACAGGCGGTGGGGGCCTGGGGGGGATACACTTGTTTCTCAAAGTTTGAAGGGATAAATGAGAAACAGTCCCAGGCTTAAGGAGACAGCTGCACTATGACCTGAGTTGCTGAAAGCGTGCTTTTCAGCAACATCGCGGTCGAACACGTCACTTAAAAGGATCAGCATTTGCCGGGACTATTAACGACCAGTGGTACTTACTGTTCTGTTGTGGTTTGTCTAGCACCCCGCTGCAGATTCACTGAGAAAATGGCAATCCGCTCGTGTCAATTTGCGTAGGAGCAGTCAGATGCTCAAGAGTATGGTCTATATACTGAAGAAGAAGTTGAAGGTCCGATCAGTGCACGAGATGGCAGCTGCTGAGGCAGATGACACCGATGACACCGTCGGTGACGGAGGTGATAATGATGCCAAAGGAGGAACGTGACGTGGACATGGATGGGCGAAATGTTCCTCAGGATGTTGATGACACTGTGAAATAGGACGCAAAGGGCTAACAATGGACATACAATGGACATAGGATGAAATAGGTACAGTATGACTTGGCTAGCATTTGGCTTCATTTGACATGTTTGGGTTACCTTGTTCGGGAAAGAGAAAATGGCCCGCACTCGGAACCTCAACCTCGTGGGCCTGGGGTTAATGAAAGCACCCTTCCTCCAGGTTGTGCCACGAAATATGGCTAGTAAACTGGCTAGTAATTATCCAAACCTGACAAGGGAAGTCAATTTGTGCAGTTGAACTAGCCACATGGCATGTCTTTCAATGGGAAAAAAAATCCGCAGTTGCAGCTTTGTTGGAGAAGAATGCACCAGCTTCAAAGGCACATCCCGAAGTGCTTGGTCTTGGGAGTGGTGGCATTCCCTTTCAGAGGATCAGTGGAGTGCAGTGCGAAGTGCTGCAGTTAAGAGAAGCAACAGTCGTGAGCGATCCTCTAGAGGGTGACAACCTAAGACCTAAGGTTCCCTTTGACCACCTGGCATTTGAAACATTGCCAGCTGAAGGATTTCAAACCCAGGGCATGGGGAAGTGCTCTGGGGAGGGACAAAATAACAGCCGCGAGTCTTGCTGGCAGCTGATTCACTTGAATGTGATAGGAAGAGCTTCCAGCCTCTCCTATTTACCCATACACTCCATGGGACTGCCATATATGCCTACATTGACCCCCAGAACCACCCCAACTGAATGGCATATATATGGCAGTCCCATGGGTCGCGTCTGGGTTATACTTAATGGTCTCCGACTAGTCGCTGCTCTATTCCTCAGTTGCCTTCCCAAGTGTAGCTCAGTCGCTCTTCTCACTGATTCTGATGGTTTCTGTTTTACACGATTTCTGGAAACGATTTTGGGTCAGCTGTTGGGAAGAAACGGGACAAGTGGCCCGGTGGCTCTGCTGCGACATTGACAGTTGATTGGAGCATCTCATTGGCATAGTCGACATAGTTTAAACATGTTCAAAGACACTATAATTACTCTTAAACAATACATCCATCTTGGGCAAACGCAACCAAGACGGGCCATAACTCGCTTTAGCTTGCTTCTATTAGATCCTAAAAAAGGTTATAGCGATGATTAGCGATGATGCTTCCTAGATGGTTCCTAGATGATCCTAGTTACCTGGAGAACCAGGTACTCTTGCTCCGAAACGGTGACCTGACTCGCACGTCCACTCGCACGTCCATAACACACCAGCCGCACCGTCCTTTGATCCGCGCGCGTATAGCAGATCTCGATCTCGGCGGTGCTCCATCTCCGGCAGCTCCACAGCGTCGTCTGCCCGCAGGGGACGACGGTGGAAGATGCCGGTGAAGCCACCGAAGCCACCTCTCTTTCTGTGTCGACGTCGCCTCACTGCCATGCTGCTACGGTCTGCCGCGTCCCAACAGGTCGAAGACCGAAGCGGTGCGTCCTCCTGGCGCTTTCGGCGCGAGGGAGCGGGTCGGAGCTCCGTGGCGGCGTGGATGGACCTAAGGAGTAGGTGACCCGTAAATATAAACATACATGACCCCTTTTCAACCACCCCAATGTAGCTCAATGTGCCAGTCCCATCAGTCCCATTTAGTGTCTGGGAAACACTGGACTCAAGGCACCAAAGCAGCTCACTCCAGAGCTACTGATTCTCTCACTCACTCCATGCAGTTCGGTCGTCGTGTCCGCCCTGTTTCGGTCCGGTCTCTCAGCCTCTCTCTCTCTCTCTCTCTCTTTTTTCCCCTCTCTCGAATGTAGACTGTGATTAAGAACCCCCCCATGTGTGAAGATGTAAAACCATTCTGGCAGGTCCGGCAGTTCTCTTCCATGACATGATCGTTCTCATCCTCACGTTTTCTCATAGACCCAGAACGTCTCGATGAACATAGCCTGAAGACTTGGTTTCAGGGATGAGGGATCGGAGGGTCGGAGATGGTGTGAGATCAATGAAACTAACTCTTTGGTGGAGACTGCTTTGGCTTGGTTGGTGTAGATTATCTTTTCCCAAGATGCCGCTCCTAAAGATAACAACAGTTATGCTTTGTCACCCTAAATGTGGCATCCAACCTGCTTTGTTTTGCAAACATTGATTTGGAGTTCAGAATGCAAATGAAGTGAAATGAATAAATTCCTCCAAACCTGTATCATGCTCCAACGTGAGGTGCTTCTGATAGAAGGGTTAATATAACATTGCATAAAACAATATATACCTTGAGTCTCCAAAGACCTTTTTTTCTGCGTTTTTGTTTTTGGTCTAATATTTTTGCGTTTTTGCTCGAAAAACGCGTTTTTAGAGATGAGGACTCAAAAAAAAGGTGCAGAGTGAATCTTCATCCGGACGCGTCCGGCACGGACGCTTACAGACGCCTTTTGGACGCCGAAAAAAGGTCTCAGGACACTGTCTAAGGAGGATCTGACAGGGCACAAACAAAAAAGGAACATTTCGTGACATATGCAAAAAAGAGTGCTTTCTTTCAAAAACCTCTTTTTCTTGGAAAGGCAAATTTAAAAGGGTCATTGGAGACTCAAGGTAATTACTATAATTTATCTATTATACAGACTTGCTTAATCATCCTATTTGGGTCTTAAATAGTTTTAACGCCTTCCAAACCACAGGAAAACTCCAGTCCTTCCGTGCCCGTGCGGCATGGACCAAAAACGTCATTTCTCGCTGCGTGTGTGTCTTTTTGTTCTTGCTTTCCGTTCCTCCCAGACTGTTCTAAACATTGTTTCCGCGTCGACTGTTCTCAACACGTCCCCCATGGTCCATGGAACCCCCATGAACCCCCCGAATCCCATGACCCCCACGTCTCCACTTACCACTCTTTTGGCACGGCACCGCGTGTTCCGGTGCATTTAGATGGTGCAAAAAGCTTCCATGGTTTTCACCACACCGGCGGTTCTTTCGCTTCATGAACTCAGGCCAGCGAACCGGTGCCGTTCGTCACCCGGACGCTCTCCGAAGCAACGCTCTCCGAGGAGCTGACGGAGATGACACTGGTCATGGGGATCCCACCCGAGCTGTGGATCTCTGGTGCTTCGCACTGCTCCGAGCACGTCCTGGGGTCGACGCGGAACGCGCGGAACGCATCGCTGTCGAACGCCCATCGAACGCGGGTAGTTGGAGAAACCGGAGAGGTAGGCGGTGGGAGGCGGAGAGCCGGAAGTCACGAGAATCGACGGTCAGAATGGACGATGAACATGGGACTTGGGATGATCGTCATGCTTTTGTTGATCTTTTATTTGGTGTCCGAAGTGACAAACATCGAGTTTTTGGGTGGACAAGCAAACCCAAACACGACCAATGGAACTGGCATATTACATGATTTCACATGCATTGGGGTGGTCGAACCAGGGCCAATGTGAGCATATATTCTGGAATAGTGGGCTCGATCCACTCTTCCCGAAATCATATCGGTACTTCGATATACGTGTGCTTCGAACTTGCACGAAGCAAAGCCTTAGAGGAAACCATTATAGAAGCAAAGGATGAACAAAAGAGTTCCAATCGGGGTGAGAAAGCTGCGGAATGTGAGCTACTGCAGCTTCATCCACGCACGCTCACGACATGCGCACACACACATGCCAAGATCCGGCGGCCCATTTTTATGGACCCCTTGGAACACATCTGCTAGGATCACTCAAGTCATACTGAACATGGAGCCTCTGAAAGAGCAAGAGGTGTCCTTGCTTCGCCAGTGAAAGAGCCAGTTCTTGCATTCGTTCCAAAAAAACAGCATGATCGAGTGGATCATGTCCACTCACACCATGAGTTGGTCTCACAATGCCCTTCTTCACAGGCCCAGTGGCTTTCCTTTCGTCTCCGCCCAATGCTCTGCAAAGGATTCCAGTGTGGAGCCTGTGCACCTAATTCACTCGCACACGTGACTCGACCGTCAAACAACGAATCATAAAAGCCACCAGCCCTGCCAGCTCTGGAATGCAACGTGACACATGTGACAACATCCTCATGCCCTGGGCAGTGAAAAACGATCCAACCATTGTCTAGCCCATCTGTTTGTTTGTCCCCACTGCGCCCAGCAGCACCAGAAAACCAAGGCACCTCATTTGCTCGGCCAAGGCCTCCAGAAAACCAATCTGTCGCCTGACCGACCAACATCGACGCACGCTCTTCGACACCGACCTCCCGACGGCCGACGTCACCGATTCGACGTCGAATCGAAGCACCAGTTTAAGTGGATGATCCGGTGCTTTGCACCGGTGGGAATTGTTTCAAAGATCCTCAGAAGTGACAACTGGAAGTGACAACTTCTTCGCGGAACATCGTGAAAGGCGGATCTGCAACCGAACAAGGTCGTGCACCTAGGTTGGTCATAGTGCATAACCATTGGGGTGAGATAGGGTATGTCGGCGATGTGTGCTTCTTGGTGTTGTCCAACGAGGTTTCAACAGATCCGGTGCTCCGATCTGCAGTCCAGTTGCTCCACTGCGCCAGGACTGCTCCCAAAGCTGATGTGGAGTTCCAAGGTGCGGATTTTGATGATCTCGTTGCTCAGGAGCCACTCCAGAATCTCCCAGGCCTCAGAAATCGCAATCAGGTCTCGGTGACTTGCAGATCGGATGGCCTCGGTCTCGATGAGTTGCCCACGTCCCTCACTGCTGAGTTGTATATTTCTTTGGGGTGAGATTGAAATAGAGTCCGTCAATTTAGCAATGTCCTCCATTTACAGCTCAGTTTTAGGATGTTCATTCACCAAGGGCTTTTTTCCTGGTGGGCTCCTCACCTTGCATCCTTGCAGCCCTTCCCTTTTGATCTTCCACTCTGTCCAGATCGCACTGACCGCTCGGAACCGCGCCGATCACATCAGGTCACGTGAACCAGGACGGCGAATCAGCGAGATCGGATCCGAAAAAGAGCCGCGTGTGGGCCCGCGGCGTGTGGGCCCGCAGCATGAATTCACCTCATAGATCACCATATGTGGGCCCTTCCGATTCTTTTCCCCCAAAACCGCAGCCCACATCAACCATCCAACGAATCTGCTCCCGTTTCTGTCTCACCTCGGACCCCAACTGACGGTTCAGGAGTCCAAGACGGGTTGATTTCAACGCCTTCATTGGGGAACCTCCGGTGTGCGGGGCTCCGGCCTTCGCTCCGTCCAGCAGCAGGAACACGGAGGCTGGCCTGGGTTTCGAATGAGCGGGTGGGTCAGCGCGCATGGCGGGCGCATGGCGGATAGTTGCGTCTGGCGTGTGTTTGAACCATGCATACAAGCCTGAAACGAAACGAACATAGGCAACACCTTCAGGTCCTTCAGGTGTTTACCGTTGAAAAGTATCATCCCTCAAGATCCCTTGGTTGCTAGGTTGGTAAACAATGATTCAAGACTAAGTCTTGTAATATGTGTGTTTTCCTGGTATTGTCTGATAAGCTGTTAACATGAAAAGGGTACGCGACATGCTGGACATAGACACTCCTTTGCTAGTGCCGCCTGTGCATGTGTTTGTTCTGGGCTTCGTCGCCCTGGAATGGAGCAATGAAGAGCCTAGTCCTCGACTAAGTGTGGCCGCACCTCTGTGTGTGTTTCCTGCCGCAACATAAGGCTACGCAAATTGGACGTGGGGGTTGTGAGGTGGGGTCAGATCCACCAAAGCTTAAGCTTTTACTGTATCAAGTGGTGATGTTGCTGGTTGGTTGTGGAGCAAGTAAAATCATGCCAGTCAGATCATCCTCAGTTTTTACCCCATCTCAATCAGGTCTGGAACTGATCCAACGATCTATTTGAAGGTGAAAGGTGCGAAAAGCCGGTAGATGATAATCCACACCTGCATCTTTTGCAGGTTCAAACTTCTGGAAAACCTCAAAACAGTCAACGCTTCCAGGTCATGTGGCTCCTGCTCTTGCAGCTTCTGCTGTAGCTGTTCCAGACTTTCCACATGGAATGTCGCCACCTTCAAAGCCTGCATCTTCGCCCACCTTGGATTTGCTTCAAACACCTAGAACAATCACGTCATATTCCCTACCAAGCTAGCTTCCAACAGGTCTGTGAGCCTGTAGACCCCTCGTGCGACCTTTTGGGCATGAATCTTGCGTGCTGGCATTGAACATCTTGAAAGAATCTGCCCACATGAGAATGCTAGAATCCAATTCTGCCGATTTTACCAGGCCACCATGCCGCGTGCTGTGCATCTTGCGCAGAAGCCTGCGCAGCCTGCGTGCCCACAGAGAGGCCCTGGTGGTGCTTCTGAGGCTCGAGATCTGAAGCCTTTGAGCACCAGGTCATGGCCTCAGAGGCTCCCTGAAGGCTGGCTTTGCGCCATCAATCCATGTGGATGTGTATTTATAGAATGACTCCTGGAGTAGACAAAAGATGGGAACATCCACAAGATAACAATAGGAAACGTTTCCTATTAATAGAGTCATGTTGAACCAATCCCCAAAATGACTCTATGAGTTTCACAAAATGACTCTATTTTTTTGGGGAGGGATTGGTTCATATTGTTCTGCTGCTACTCCAGGACGGTTTTTTCAATGGGGTGACCCCCCTGGCCATCCCTGGCCCCCATGGGTTGCCCTGCAGAGGTGTCACTATAGAATACTATATATATATATATGTAACACATCTGTTGATTCTTGACTCATAAATCATCAATCATGAAGCTTTCTCGTGACGGATGGAGATCAAACATCAAGCCCCTGACACATTGGAGTCTCTTGAGTTGCTTTTCTTTCATCCAACATTGCTAGTTGGCTCAGAAGAATCCACCCTAGGAAGCGTATCCATCCTGTGGCGCTTGCGTATGCTTGTGGTCTTAATGATTCGGACGAAGCAGAGTGTTGGGGCCAATGGATCAAACATGATGGCACAGCTGTTGCAGTGGCGCTCAACCGAAAACAGACCCGAGGTTGGTATTTAGAGCTGGGCCATGTGGGAGGTTTGAGCATTCCAGGTTTGGGCCATGTGCTTCTCTCCAACTATACGTGGACTATCCGCTCGGACACTGAGAGAAAGGACTGCAGACTTGCTATACACTATGTTATACATGTTGAGAAAAAGGAGTCAACCAATTGAAGCAATTATCATCTAGTCTGGTTGGCTGGTCAGAGTTCCATATATATAGGTTGACCGCTGCTAGCACGTGGCACTACTTACTTCTCACCGCGCTTTAAACCAGGCCATCGATGGCCGCTTCGTGGCCCGGTGTGAACATTGCAGTCGTCCATGTTCTTGTTGTACAAAATGAGTACGACCCTAACTCTTGGCTAAATGGAGGTTTGGAGGTCTTCTTTGTCAACGGCCTGGAATACTCATGCGGTCCCAAGTTGGACATGAACAGTGGAATACTCGTGGGCCAACGTGGATGGAAAACGGCCCGCGTTTTACTTTACTTGTTTTTACCATATTCAATCTGAAGATCAAACATGTGGTGAACTCCACTTCCAAGGAATATTTCATGGAAGGTAGACCAACTGGACTTCTTCAACTGGCAGGGGTGTTCTAATGAAGAACTTGACCTTAGCATCAGGGACCTCTAAGGTAAGGGAACCAAACAAAGCATGAACCACTAAGCCAGTTCAGAGGATGGTCCCACGGAGAAACACGACAGATCTATTTGGGCTGGTGCTTTGGTGATGTCTGTACCGCGTTTCTTCACACATGCGCTTTCTGCGGTTGCAGTGTGACAAAACGTTGAGCAACCAGTTTACATGTTTCAACTCATGATGGGACTTCTAATATGTAAACCCAACATCTTCTAATGTAAGCCCTATGAAATTTCCCCATCCCAACACCGTCTTCGGCAAACTGAAATGACTTGATGCCAGGGCTCGTCCATCTCTAATCTGCAGTCCTCCTCCATGGCTCCTCGTAGAGCCTTCACGACACGCTCCCCCAGCGCCACACGTGTTGCATCGCGGGCGCGGGAGGAGGTGGCGTAGGGCCAAGGCCGCAAGCTTGGCAAGCAGGGCCTTGGCCGCATTTCTTCGAGCGGAGCGAGCTGGGTGCGCCCACAGCTTTGCCCTTCCTCTCGCTTTACTGCACGTTGGATGTGTGAGGCTTCTTCTCTGGGCTCATCGTCCCTTCAAAAGGTCAGTACATATACCTATAGAACCTGATTGACCCCTGCTTTGGAGCCAAAACATGGTCAAACTTCCTATCAAAACAAAGGTCAAATGGGTTCTAGGTAATTATATATATGTGTACATCTTATGCCATATCAGCAGATTCAACGGAGCTGGGTACAGGGTAGTACACGCGATATTGCTTCTGCACTCATTGCATGATCTACACACGTACCGGGAAGCAACACTAAGAAACAAATCTGCCTTGGTGGAAACCACCCGCTGAAGGCGCTGGTACAAATGAAACTAGCATGCCCTGAGCCTACAGCATCTGCTACTGTTCCTCAACGGTGTTCAGTCGTCGATCCATTCCCAACATGTTGGCGAATGCCAAACCTATACCCTCAGCACTCTTGACCCAAATCAAGTCCCACTGAGTTTGGACAATCTCCAAGGGCCCCACAGGTCTTCATCCACCCGCTTGCAATCTTCATCCGAATTCCCACATGTTGAACTCATGATCTGTAAAACAAAGAACCATTGCTTATCTGTTATAACACTGTATACTATAACTATATAGTAAAAGGATGTAAAAGGACCAGTCCACAGGGTCCAGTCGGTTTTCAACTCATGCCCCATGGGAAGCGCCAGGACGCGCAGGACCCGGACGAAACCGCCGAGCTTCAATCCGGGTCTAGAGCGGGTCTTGTGAGCCCTGGGGCGTTCTGCGACTCAGCAAGAAGGGAAGATCCAACGTATGGGTCGTTCTGTGCGGTTCGCTGGGAGGGCACCCAGCCAAAGTCTACCCACAACTTGTTCAGGCAGAGTGCTGCTTGTTCAGGCCTGTGTAAACCATGTGTGTTCTCCACTGACTGCTAGGTCCATGTTCCGTTCCATCTCCTATCGGTCCATCTGGGAACACTTGGTGCTTCGTGTCCCAAGCTTCAGAACGAGGCGCATGTTTGGTTCGGCGCTGGGTATCAATGCTGGGTGGTCCCAAGCTTCGGTTCTCAGAATCGAACTGGAACCTCGGCCCTCCTGGGTTTAAGATTTTTTCGGCCTAACCGGGCGTTCAAAATGCAAGTGGTGTACCATGACATCCATGGTTTGTGAGGCCATGCCACCCTAGTTTTGTGGCTCCACTACCAAACGCCTGACGAGCACCCGAGCTCTAAGCGCACACGGCCACACATTTCGGCAGCAGTACCCTGCAGCGGCGCGAATAATTTCCCAAGCTCCACAGCCCACACGGCCACACATTTGATATGCACTATTCGCTGCGTGCACATTGCGTGAACTTTGGGGTGGGATCGAGTGGGCGAGAAGGATTGCACAACATTTTTGAAACAATTACTTAACATAAAAAAAGGAGACTATGATGTTAAAGGTCTAGTCTCTAAAAATGAGACTATGTTAAAACACCGTACCTTTGTTTCCTTCCCCCGTCTCTTTGTTTGAGTGGGTGTGCACTCTGCAGTGTGCGAAATCGACCAAGACCGAACCCTTCAAACGCTTTCGCCAAAAATGAAGAACATGAAGCAATCCCGAACCTCTTCAAAGTGACAGTGCGCGTGTTTTCCACAGCGCAAGTCGCTTCCAAGGTGTGACTTTCAAGGTGAAACCTAGGACCTAATCGACATTAATGTCATCAGCCGCTTCATCGGCCTCTTCCTCGCCCCCCTCCTCATCTTCATTCTCTTCCTTCTCATGTCCATCCGTCGGTTCTGCGATGGGCGCAGGAACTTCCTCAAGGGGCGCCGGCTCAGCGATGCGAGTAGCTGCAGCATTGGCTTCTGCTGTCAGCAACGATTCCTCAGGTATCGACATCATGAATTTACAAAAACTGACGACACCTGTCCAGTTGGAAAACACCAGCTGAATAAACTTAAGCCAACTGAGTCTGAAACCGCCAGTCGTTTCACTTCCTCCTTGTCAGCGTCCTTCGTCTCAAACTCAAGGCGGCAAATCTCCTGAAATGGACGACATAAGTAAGGGACCTCCTTTGTCGTGGTAAAGTTGTAATCAAACCAAAAACTGAGCGGTGAACGGCAATCTCTGCTTGCTTCTCTGCGCTCACACCATCCGTTTTCTTTACCTCGCAGGGCAGCGATGAACACAGGTGTTCCTATGGTGTTCCTTGAAAAAATATATTAAAGTACCAAAATCAAGTCCCAGACCGTCATTTGTTCACGATTCTTCCATTTGATGCCCCACTTCTGCAACTTGTGGTATAGATACTTGGTAGCCTTCGGCGGCGTGTCTGCTGCCTTTGCCTTCGACTTCGAGGCGGCAGGTTTCTTCAAAACTGGCCCTGTCGCAGAATCAGAACCGGAAGCGGCAGCCACAGCAGAAGCAGGTCGCTTCTTTGCGGTTTCTTCTGGCACGGGTAGCACAGTCTCATCACTCTCGTCAACCTTGACTTTCTTCTTTGGAAGGGCTTTTGGTTTTTCTTTCGATTTTGTTTCTGGTTTGGGTTTCGGCACTGGGTCCTTGGTTCTGGGAGCCGGAGGTGTTTTCACAGCCTCTTCATCTGACAACTGAGTGACTGCGGTCCATCCGGTCGAAGCCATACCTATACTCAGGTACAGCTGGTGACAGCAGCACTGAACCTACTAAGTCTCAAATTGAGCCCTTATGGACGACAATTTATTCAATGGGATTCAGCCTTGAGGCTACAAACCAGGTAGCAGTCAATGTGGAAGCACTGCAATGCGTGACAATGTACAATTCCTCAATTCCTTTTGCTGATCGCGTAAGAGCTAACTTCAAAGCTCATCAAACGCAAACGCCAGCACAGCAACTCAAAACTGGCAAGCATCATGGAGCCTGACAAATTTATGGAAAGATCCTAGGATACAAACATATGTCAACTGCTTTATTAATTGCTCAACTTCCCCATTGCCAATTGTCGCTGTCAGGAACTTGAAAACTTTTGCTACTTTCCAGACATCACCCTAGCTTTACTGCAGACAAGCCAGGGATTTTCATCGCGCACGTCAGCCAATACTTTGGTTTGAGGGCCCGGAGCACATTGTGTTCCAACTTCACCTCGGCTAGAAATATGTATTGAAACCCACCTGAAGTAGTAGTAGTAGTCGTCGTCGTCGTAGTATTAGATTTGCATTGATTTAGATTTGCATTGACTAGTAGCAGGCTTGTGAACCCTTTCCAGAACATGGCAAGTCGCTTCCCATACTGTTTGACACATCTCACATTGCGGTAGCTTGGTAAGCTTCCCTAAGAAGCAAGCCCCGAACATTGTTGATCGGACTGGTGCGCTGGCTGAACAGTCGGCTGGAAGCGCCTTTGGCTCGAAGCTGTTGATTTTGGCACTGGGCGATATCACATAGCGGAAGGACTTCACAGTGTCGCCCTGGAACACACAAACTATTGACCAACAAGCGCCTGGTAAAACAGTGGAAACAAACAAACCTAGTAAAATAGTGGAAACAAATTAAAGCAGACTGGTCCTCCATTTGCTGACGAAGGGAATGTTCCACCACAGTCAATTCTGTGATTCCATCAGTCTGAGTAGCATTGCAGCTCAGCTCGCTAATGCAAGTCGGAGTCTTTGTCTCAGTGACCTGAATGATTGTTTGCGTGTCCTTTTCCAGGATCCATGGGATGCTGTTGTCACGCTGGCCTCGCGCTGTACCTGTTCGCAACTGGCGCAACCACCAGCGGGGCTGAAAGTTCAGCGTTCACTACAAGCGGGGCTGAGAGCCTGGCCTACTGGTACTGAATTGAACGTGCCCACGTTGAAGCCAAACAGTTCACATGCCTGCAAATGCTGCTCGTCTGCGTTTGGATTTGTGATCCACAACTCATCCTCTGTAGTGGCAATGACCCAAACTTTGTCGTTCGATGCGGGTTTGGTCTTGTATCGTGGCCTTGGACGGTGGATCCAGGAGCGAGAAATGCGTCACTAGCCAGCAAACCAACGAGCAAAAACAAACACCAACATGCAACATTGATTGCAAACGGAACGCGTCTTGTTTGCTTCGAACTCTGCGTTGGTCGTGACAGTAGCAGGAACGCGGGTGGCACGATAGTTCAAGAACTCTCCATCAGCATAAACAGGCCTGCAGAGTGTGCGGCTTCCTACAGTACGCTTGCCAGAGGTAGTAGCTGGAGTGCCTGAAGCTGCCCCTGTCCCTGGCTGAAGAAGCGTGAGCGAATGCTTTGAATTCCAACAATCGAGCTTCGATTGCAGAACGTCTGCTTTCCCATGCAAAGTCTGGGACACGGCCTCAGGTAGCCTGAGCTTCGGGGGCCCAGGCGTGTGAATCAGAATTGGACTCCACCTGACATACATTAAATTAGTGACAGTGATCTGCTTACTTACAAGCATCATGTTGCATACAAAAAGCTTGACTTTGTCATTGTCTATGGCCAAAACCTTGAGGGCAGGCTTCGCCTCAGAGTATTCTACACTTGGCCTCTTTGTTGGGCCAGCGTCAGGACAGCTGTCCCACCATTCCTGGGCGGAGGCTACAATCAGTGAGGGTACCATTTGACTCTTCTCACTGAGGTTCGAACAGAGAAGATCTTACCCGTGATCCAGGTCTTGGCGTCTTCCACGTGTGAAGTCTTCTCATCCTCACCAGTCACAATGTAAGCAGCAAAGTGCCAGTCATAACCTTTGTTCTGCGTCATGAAAATCTTCTGCAGCTCCCAAGCACTGCGCCCCCACTCGTTCCACCTAGCGGAACATAAGCGCATAATATACTATGCAATGATGGTTGACTGCTTGCAACAATGGGCCTGTTCAAAGTAAGATCAACCAGCCACACTTTGCTGCCAGGGGTAACTTCAGTGCCCTGAAGTAGGTTTTCCACAAGTTCGCGAGTACCCGGCACACCGCGCTGTTGCACCTTGCAAACACAACAAGGAAGAAAAAAAAACTAACCCAACACGGCCTAATGATTACTTAAACGCTGACAAATGTGCTCGGTGCGGTGGTGAGCAAGGGCGGTCTGAATCATCAGACCAAAGATCGCAAACTCGTGATCTCGATATTGGCCCCACAGCACCGAGAAGCGCTTTGCTGGTCTTGAAACCAAAATTTCTGTGAGCCACGCTCACACAAAGATTGCCTTAAGTTGATGTTCAACAAACAAATGTTGGATCGGTTGCATATAGATGTTTTTTTCTTGACCAGTTCTGACAGCTGCAATAATATGCCAAGTTAAAGTCGATTGCAATTTTCTAGGGAGCCACGTTGCATAGCTGAGCTCGAAGTCTTTTGTCTCCACCGTGCCCTGAATCCCCGAAAATCAAAGAGAGCTCGTGGTTCTCCATCGTCCTCAAACATTTGGTTCCTAACGTGTCAAACATGTCCCGCTGTGTCGCACAATGTTTGAGCCATTTTCAACAAAAATGCAATTTGAGAAACCCCATAAGCTTGTCTTCCAATGATCTTCTTTTGGCAAGGATTGATGTCTTCTCGATAGCACTGTGCGGTTGAGGCTGCAAGCAAAAGAGTGCGGCGTTCAGGTTGCTATTTGATACAGCCTTCGCTGCATCACACACCTCATCAATGAGGAGAGAACCTAGGCATCTGCCGACATTGCAAGGAACGCGCAGCTTTGATTCACCAGATCTATGCTGACATACGCTGCGTCTACTACCCTGATGACATTCGACGCAAACTGACACGTTCAAGGGACGAGGAGGCCAATTGGAAGCATCAAGGATCATTATCGTGTACCTTTG